AACTTAACGAATTATAAATAACGAAATATTTTTTAATTTAAAAGCGTTTCAATTAATATATTGAAGGTACGCACGCGTCTCCTGAGAAGGCTTGAGTTATGGGTGAAGTAAACGGTAGTCGATCCCATTTTCCAAATAAACTTTTTTAAACAAGTAAAATAAGTTAGACAAGCATTTTTTAAATTTAAATTTAAAATTTTTTTTAAATTTTAATTGTACAAAATAGACGCTCACTAAGTTTTAATTAAGTTTTTTGGACTACTTGCAACCCATTAACGATAATTTGCTTTCAAATTTAGTTTTTTTTTTTTGTCTTAAGTTTTAGAGAAACATTTTTTGGGTCATTGAAGTAATACCCATTATTTCCAACAACTATAAAGCTTGACAAAGTAACAAGATTTGTCATCAAAAATAAAATTTGCGTGCAGTCAATTTTCGTTTCTTTTAATATTTTAATATTTTCCATATACAATTGTTTTCGGAAATTTTTCTAAAATAAATGTAAGTAGTTATATAGGTTTTCCTCATATAATGCTATTTTTGTAGAAGTTTTTTTTGAATCTACCATTTTTGAGCCCAAACTCAGTTAAAAAGTACGCCATGTTAAAAAACGATTATTTTTGATTAATACATTTTTTTAATTACACTTTGTCTAATTTGCATAAACACTAAGTTATGTTGTTTCAACATTTTCACATAAGCCAATGATTTTCGTGGAGTTCCATTTTTGAAGCAACAACCGTTGTTGTAGCATTATTTCAGTTTTTACTTTATTTTAGGTTTACTTGTATATTTCTTGTACGGTATACGATACAGCAAAGTGGATAATATCGATGTCGATGAATTCCAATTGGTTGATCGTTTTGAAGAGAATTATTAAAAATTTATAAAGATTAAGTTATTTTTTACCGTTTTCTTTAGCATTTCTTTATAACTTTTCTTTAATATAGATTTATATATATATATATATATATATATATATATATATATATATATATATATATATATATATATATATATAATTTTTTTTTTTTTTTTTTTTGTGTGTGTGTAAATAATTATTTAATTTTCAATTTTTATAAGATTTAAATGTATTTTCTTAGGAATGTGTGGAGTGTGTGGTTGTAGGTTTTATTAGAATTATTTATTATGTACAGCTATTTAATTTATTGTTTGTTTTATATAAATAATCTTGAAAATGACCATTTTAAAATTTTGGTCGTTGTTGTAAAAAGTGATGCATTCACGCAAAAGACGTCTAATTCCCGTAAAAAGTTTTTCTTTGATGATACTTTCATCGAAGAGTTAAGCAGATATATGGATTATACAGGTTTAAAGGTCCTATTTTTAAAAAAAATGTGTGCAGAAGAATGGGGTCAAATATGTTCCTCTCTCCTTTAAAATAATTTTTTGTATGATTTTTTTTTTTTTTTTCTTTCTCAAACTAAAAAAAATTTATAAAATGATTTTTTTAGAATAATACTTTATTGTTCATTAAATCAAAGTTTTTGCTAAAGTATAAATAAATATAATTTTTTTTATTTATGTGTTTATTACATATATTGCAATGTTAGATGACTAGAATAAAGTAATTATTCGTGTGGGAATAGATGATGGTTAAGGTTTCTTGAAAGTTGTAATTAATTTTTTTTTTTTTGTATAGAAACATTGACTTTCAACAGTCCAAAAACACTGGTATTAATAAAGTTCTGGTATTGGTTTTTATCAAAAATGTTACTGAAAATCATGCAAACCTTTATATTCTTATGGAAAAAGTTCTCAACAATTTAAAGTTCTACTTAGCAGATCTTAAGCTGTTAAACATAATTTCAGGCAATTACCTTTAGCAGTTTAGTCAGGCCGTAAAGGAAAATAATTTTGTTTACATTAAAGGTGAAAGGTCAAACCTGAGAAAACTGTAAGTTAAAGCCGCTGTTTAGAAGCTTTACTAAAATGAATCTGAACATTTTATGAAAATAGATTTGAACATTTTATGCAAATCTACAAAAATGTTATAAGTCCACGTCTACTTGATGTAGCTAGAGATTAAAATCTACTTGAATTAAAGCAGAACTTAATTTTCTGATGAAGATTGTTATTGTGGTTTCAAATGTATTGTGTAGAAACCTGTTATCAGTGTCTAGCTTAGTAATCATAGGATAACTAAACTATAATGAAGGTTGGTAGAAGTGCAATAAAGGTGGGTTGGTAGAAATGCTAATAAAATTCGGAAGCTTCAGCTTCCGAATTTAACATTTTTACTTGCTATATTATCAAATTATTACATAATGCAAATTTTTAACATAAACCTTTAGAAGTTAACAAGTGCTTTGGTATGAAACTTCATAAAGGATCATTGCAAATTATCTTAAGATATTGAAGGTAAACTTGAATTATAAGAATTTTTAGTAGAGGAATCATTGGCTATTTAGTTGAACTAAACATGGAAACAATTCTTTTTTATAATTCTTTTATGTGATTGACATACTATCTATTTAGTTCTAATTTTTTATTTTAATTTATGAAACTGAAATTTATATAAACATTAATTTCAACCACAATTTTTCAATGGGATGAAATTCGTTGTTTTCTTAAACAAAATTAGAATGTTGTTAGGACTGTTTGCTGATTGTTCCAAATCTGTTTATCGCAACATGTTTAAACTCTAAGTAGATTCACAACTTTTGAATCTAAATTGAATTATGGAGAAATTTTAAAAACAGCTCAGGAGTAGAGTATTAAAGATTCAAAAGAATCTTTAAAGAATCAAGGGTTAGAGTTTAAATGAAATTGATTAATATAAATCAATTAAAAAATCTCAAAATTTGTGATGCCCCCAAATAATTTAAGAAATATTTTCTAATTTTTTCAAAAAAATAATTTGATTGTTTTTTAATTAAAATTTAACGTAGATTCCGAATTTAGACAATTTAAAATCTATATTTAAATAGTTTTCTCTCAAAATGCGAGTGTTGCACATCAGATGATATATATTAAATGAATAATTTTTTTTATAAAAAATCAGTATCTATCTAGAGTCCTAATTTTGGATGTTTATTACGACAATAATCAGCTACAAAAGCTTCACTGTTTCAAAATTACGATAAAAAATGGTAGATTATAGTTTATTAACAACTGGAAAACATCATTTCAAGGACGGATCCAGCATTTTTTGTTCTTTAAAATTTGAAACTCCTCAAATTATGGGAGGGTCAAACTTTATATGGTCATTACTTTTGAACGCTGAAGTATTATAGTATAAAATTTAAAATTTCGGGATGAATATAAATCTAGTTAAGAATAGTACTAGGGTTATTTTATCAAATTTTTGCTCTTGCATTTGGCGCAGAGGCGGTAAAGATTTTTGTGTTTTGTTTGTTCCCAAGCTCCAATCATTGCAGTTTTTTGCAAAGCATCTTTATTTGACATAAGTATAAAGATAAATGTTTAATGCTTGCTCCATTTCTGGAAGTAGGCTCAAAGATCGCGAAGACTCTCAAAGACCAAAAAATACTGGGTTTGTCCCTGCATTGTTAAGTTCGCTTCTAAGATTTATGATTGAAAAACTTTTTAAAATTTATAATAAAGTCATAAGTATGAGAAAGAGGGGGAAACAAACTATAAAGCGTTTATACTCTCGTAAAAGAAGATTCTATGGAAATAAGCAAACAAAACCATTTGAAACAATCATAGTAGGAATGTGACATGAAATTTTTAAATTTTTCATAATTAGATTTTTATATATCATTGGAAAGGGTAGTGTTTTTAAAGTATTTTTTACAGTATTTTAAAAGTGAAAAAGTTATCATAACCGAGCAATTAAAAAAAGTTATGAGGATTTAAGTAAGAAAATTTTTCGATATATGGATTTTTTAAAGAAAATTGTAGTCAAAACTAAATTTTTTTTTACATAATTTGTTATTACTTCGTCAATACTTATTTAAATGCTAATAACTTGGTATTAAAAGATAACTCAGAGCAGAGGAAAACTCGGAGTTGAATGGTGGAGGTATTAGAGGAAAACTTGGAGGAAATGGTGGAGGTATTAGAGGAAAACTCGGAGGAAATGGTGGAGGTATTAGAGGAAAACTCGGAGAAAATGGTGGAGGAATTAGAGGAAAACTCGGAGGAAATGGTGGAGGTATTAGAAGAAAACTCGGAGGAAATGGTGGAGGTATTAGAGGTAAACTCGGAGGAAATGGTGGAGATAAAAATAGTGGAGAAATAGTTTCATACATAATACTCTTTAATCCAAAAAGAACACTTGAGTGTACTAAACGCAAACTGCGAACTTTTTACAGTTGAATTGATAAATCAAGACGAAGCATAAGCGTTTATAACTTCGATATATAGACCACCTGGTGGCAATATAAAATCTTTAGAAAAGCACTTAACTCGTTATTTAAAACTAACTAAACCCAAGTAAATATACATAATGGGAGATTTTAATTTTGATCTTTTAAAAATAAAACTTAATAATACTACCGAACGATTTCTAATATAATATAATAACCTCCTTATCTAATATAATATAATAACCTCTAATATAATATAAAAAACCCCTTCAGTACTACATAGTACCTTTAATAAATAAGCCGGCACGTGTAACTCGACAAACCGCAACCCTTATCGATAACATCTTTACAAACAATTCTATAAAGTACAACATTCAAAGCGAAATAATAAGATCTGACATAAGTGACCACTTTCCAATTTTTTTTTCCCTTAAACATTTCAACGATAAAAAAGAAAAAGAAACAATGACTGTAATAGAGCCTTTCATAAAGCATTCCGTGAAAACCAGGCAGTGTTTGTAACAATCAAAACAAATCAAGGTAAGCGAAAGATACTATGACCCACGATTAGGAAAATAAAATATCTTTTAATTATGAGAACTTTGTTGTTACGACATGCTAATGCGTTGCGTCATCCGTCTAATGTCGTTTTTCTTTATTTCGCACGTGCTTCAAAAGTTTAAAAAATGCATGAAAGTAAAAGAAAAGTAAGTTTGGAAAATAATACATTTTGTTATATAACCATATTATAAATTGTTAAAGCGAGAAATTATTGACATTGACAGAGGAAAGAAGGTCATTAAATAAAAATTAATTAACTTTTTTGTTATTGACGTTGCTAATCTATTAATCCTGCTGCTACTCACCTTTTAATATACAAAAGATAAAAAGGAAGTTTACCTTACTATTGTGTATACATAGTTTATTGTTAAATATTTGCCTTAAACGATATTTAAAAATGGCGATATTGTCTGGGTTGTGATGTGCTTCTTATGAATGTTTTTTATATAGCTACGACAATGTAGATGAAATAAGACTTCCAACAAGTATTATATTTTTCACATTTCTAACTGGAGAAAGAAATATTTGATGTAACTTAAAAAAAGACAAGTAAATACCGGTTTTTATATCCATTTAAAACAAACATGACAACCATTTAAAACAACCATGACATTCCTTTAAAACTTCGTGACAATCAATTAAAACAATGTGATTTTCAATTAAAACATTTATGCATGCGCAATCTCAACATTATAAATTATTTAAAAAAAAAAAATTTCTTTATATATTTATTTATCTAACATTATATAAATTTATTTTTAATAATATTATAATAATTTATTTTAATTTAATGGAATTTATTTTAAATTTAAATGGATGCCATGTTTGTTTTAAATGGATGCAAAACCATATTTTTTTTACATATTTTTTGTACACTTTTATATTATTTATTTTGTATTGGCAAAACAACCATGATTGAACAACATTAAAAATTACATGATGATAAGGGATCGTCCATAAATTACGTAACGCAAAGTTTCACAAAAAACAAAACAAAAAAAGATCAAAAGTTTTCCCTCGCAGAGTCTTAATTTAAATAAACAATCAAAATAGGAAATTAAGTTAAATGAAAATCGCCGCGTTAAAGAGCCTAATATCTCCTACTCCTGTTCTTAAAATATTTTTTGCGTTGCGTAGTTTATGGACGATCCCTAATTAAAATAACCATGATTTCCTATTAAAACCTTTAGCGCTTGAGGATATTAGATTTTCATTAAAACATGCAGCGAAATTCTGTTTGCCAAAATACGCAAAAATTTGTTTTGAGATTGGTCGTTGGTCAAAGAAAAATTCGATCTGAATTTTCCTTGCCGCGAAAAACTCAATCTGAATCTTCATGCCGCGAAAATCCGTTTCCCAAAGCATACAAGATCTTGTTGTAAATCTAGTCGTTAATCAAAGAAAAGCTCAATCTGAAGCTTCATCGTTAACAGGAGTTAATCGAAACACAATACAATCAATTTTAAGAAGGTACGATCGAACGAATTCAACACTTCCTGGTTCTAGAGGTGGCGCTCGTCACGTTATTTATAATGAAGAGATTAGAAGAAGAATTAAAGATCTTATAAACGATAACACAACGACAACTATAATTAAAATTAGATATGCTTTAAATGTAAATGTATCGATTAAAACTGTCTGAAGATGGGTGACCAGTCTTGAATACACATATAAAATTACTCAACCAATTTATGAAAGAAGAAACGACAATGATGTAAAAAATCTTCGTATTGAATATGTTAAGTGGTATACTTCAATCTCGCCTATTAATCGCTATGAGGGCTCAGAAAATTCAAATAAAATATTTGCCACCATATTCACCATTCTTAAATCCGTGTGAAGAGATTTTTTTTATCTTTAGAAAAACGTGCGAAAAAATACGGCCACAGCTGGAAGAAATGAACTAATTACAAGAATGCGTGAGGCATTCTTATCTATTCCTAATGTTAACTTATCAAACTATTATACATACTGCGAAAGCTTTTTCGGAGCGTGTCTTAGGTCAGATGACGTACCTTGACAGTAATTGGAAAATAAGCGTTATATTTTGAATAAAATAAAATTTTAAATGATTGAATAAAAAAATAAAAATATATAAAGAAAACGAATTTTTTAAAAAGGTATATTATGCCTATTTTGGTATAAAGTTAGGTAATCAAGATAAGTCTTGGGCTCCACACAAAGTTTGTTCAATATGTGTTGAAGAACTGAGGCAATGGTTTCAAGGTAAAAAGCAGTTCTTACGTTGTGGAATATCGATGGTTTGGAGGGAGCCTAAAAATCATAGAGATGATTTTTTTTTTGTTCTTGCAACGTACAAGGTTTCAATTTAAAAAACAAAAAGATATTTCTTACCCTAACATTCAATCAGCAATTCACCCTATTTCTCATGGACCTGGAATACTAATACCCTCTCCTCCAGATTCTTTAGATGATATTTTAGATGATCACGAGACATTGGCTCAGCTAAGTGATAGTGAAGAAAACAGTGATTACTATGATCCTGACACAACCGATCCTATTCCATTCTCACGATCTGAGCTGAACAATTTAGTTAGAGACCTAAGTCTTTCTAAAGACGCGGCAGAAGTTTTAGGATCTAGATTGAAAGATAAAAATATGTTGGTTCCAAGTTCATCCTTTTCTTGGTATCGATCAAGAGAAAAAGAATTTGTATCTTTGTTCTCTTAAGAAGGTGACCTGGTATTTTGCAGTGATGTTCCTAGACTTATGCCATGTTTGAAAATAAAATATGCTCCTGATGAGTGGAGACCTTTTATCGATTCATCAAAAAGAAGCCTTATAGCAGTAATTCTGCACAATGGCAACAAGTATGCTTCTATGCCAGTTGGACACTCGGTGCACTTAAAAGAATGTAACGAAAACCTTGAACTGGTTTTAAATAAACTCAGATACTCAGACCACAAATTGACACTGTGCGGGAATTTAAAAGTTATTTCAATTCTGCTTGGTCAACAAAGTGGCTATATAACAAAAGGGCAGTTTCCTGGTTTATCCGAGGCAAAGCTAAAGTAAGGGATTTTTGTCGGACCAGACATTAGAAGACTTATGAAAGATCTTAATTTTTTGACAAAATGGAAACAAAAGAAAAGACAGCATGTACATCCTTTAAATTAGCTGTTACCGGTTTCCTAGGAAACAACAAAGATCCCAACTACAAAACCATTGTCACAGACATGCTCGACAACTTTAAGAAGCTGGGCTGTAACATAAGCATTAAAGTTCATTTTCTCCATTCACATCCTGATAACCTCCATACAAACCTTGGTGATGTAAGTGAAGAACAAAGCAAAAGATTTCACCAAGACATTAAGGAAATGAAAAGAAGATATCAGGGAAGATGGAACGTCATCATGATAGCGGACTACTGCTGGATGTTGAAGAGAGATGATCTTGAACGAGTCCACAGCCGTAAAAAGCAATAAAGGAAGCTTCGAAAGAAAGCAAAAACGTTATTATAAGAACTTATAAGATAAAAGAGAAATTTAAGTTGTCTTGAAAAATATTTTAGAAGATGATTTATACATAAAATAAAATTCTATAACGTTTGAAATTGGTCGAATTTTTTTATTTTGCCCAAAAATAATCCCTTTTTTGTGAGAAAACCTGACGCGATAGAAAAAAATGGATTGCATTTTCGAAATCAGCCCTGAGAAATACATAAAAAACAGTTATCAAATTTCAAACAACTTTTTAAAATTATTTTTTTGCAGACCTGTGTTGTCTAACAAGAAATGATCCATAGAACCCCATGTGGTACACAGATTAAACATATAAAAATTTTCAGGACAATATTGCACTCTAACAACCAAAAAACAAAAATAAGTTTATCCAGCGAACGACCAAGAGTGTTAAAGCCACTTGATGCATTTATTTTAACATTAACTTGTTTACACACGAACTTTGATCTTCGTTATTTATTTATCTTTGTATAATATTTCAGCAGGAACAGTTTCAAATACTGTAAGAACATGGATAAATTTTATGTATAAGACAAGGATCCATCTGCATATGGCCTAAAATGTATCATTGATTGTGTAGAGTTTAAATTGAATAACCTATCTGAATTATTTATGCACAAAATTATGTATTTAGATTATAAAAGTCATACAATAGTTAAAGTTTTTTAAAGTCAACAAATTGCAAATTAAAGAATCGTTGTGGAGAGAATAATAAAGAATTTTAGAAAACTCAAATATTGTATAGGCCAAATATTATAGTTGGTACATGGTAATAAGTGTATATACTAAATATATATACACCAAAAAATATAATTTTGCCAAATCATTATATAAATTTTAGCAAATTAACTATTTTAGGAAGTAAAAGAGTGCTGACATGAAAAGTAAAGCGAAGAAACGTTAAGATGCTGCATACTACCTGTGTCTTTGGAGCTATTTTGTGAAGAATTTAGAAAACAGAGAGAAA